AACCTCTTGTCAAAACTCAGCAATCATAGAATCATAGAATGGTTTGGGTTGGAAGGGACCTTAAAGATCATCTAGTTCCAACCCCCCTGCCATGGGCAGGGACACCTTCCACTAGACCAGGTTGCTCAAAGCCCCGAACATCCTGGCCTGGAACACTGCCAGGGAGGGAAGTGTTCATCCACAGCTTCTCTGGGCAGCCTGTTCCAGTGTCTCACCACCCTCACAGTAAAGAATTTTCTTCCTTATATCTAATCTAAATCTACCCTCTTTCAGTTTAAAACTGTCACCCCTTGTCCTATCATTACACTCCTTGATAAAGAGTCCCTCCCCATCTTTCCTGCAGCCCTCTAAGTACTGGAAGGCCACTAAACATCTCCCTTGAGCCTTCTCTTCTCCAGGCTGAACAACCACAACTCTCTCAGCCTGTCTTCACAGGAGAGATGTGCCAGCCTCCTGACCATCTTCATGGCATCCTCTTGACCCGCTCGAGCAGGTCCATGTCCTTCTTCTATTGGGAGCCTCAGAGCTGGACACACTACTCCAGGTGGGGTCCCATGAGAGTGGAGTAGAGTAGAGAATCCTCCCTCGACCTGCTGGCCACACTTCTCTTGATGCGGTTGGCTTTCTGGGCTGCAAGTGCACATTGCTGGCTCATAGTCAGTTTTCCATCCACTACTACTCCCAAATACTTCTTCCACAGGGCTGCTCTCAATGCACTCATCATCTCCCAGCCTGTATTTGTTCTTGGGATTGCCTTAACCCATATGTAGGACCTCACACTTGGCCTTGCTGAACTTCATGAGGCTTGCATGGATCCACCTCTCAAGCCTGTCCACACCCTCTGGATGGCATATCCCTCCAGCGTGTTGACCGCACCACAGAGCTTGGTGTTGGCAAACTTGCTGAGTATGCACTCAATCCCACTGTCCATGTTGCCAATAAAGACGTTAAACAGCGCCGGTCCTCAGAGGAACACCACTCATTACTGCTCTCCATTTGGACATCGAGCCATTGATCACAACTGCGAGTGCAACCACTGAGCCAATTCCTTATCCACCAAGTGGTCCATCTATAAAATTCATGTCTCTCTAATCCAGACACAAGGATGTCTTTCAGAAGTGTCAAATGCTTTCCACGAGTCCAGGTAGATGACGACAGTTGCTCTTCCCTTATTCACCAGCACTGTAACCCCATTGTAGAAGGCAACCAGATTTATCAGGCATGATTCTCCCTTAGCAAAGCCATGCTGGCTGTCACCAATCACCTTCTTATTTTCCACGTGCCCTAGCATAGTTTCCAGAAGGATTCACTCCATGATCTGATCTTGCTGGGCACAGCGGTGAGACTGACTAGCCTGTAGTTCCCTGGGTCCTCTTTATTTCCTTCTTTAAAAATGTGTGTTATTTTTCCCCTTCTCCAGTCAGTGGGAACTTTACCGGACTGCCATGACTTCTCAAATACGACGGATAGTGGCTTACCCGCTTCATCCACCAGTTGCTTCAGGACCCATGGATGCATCGCATAATTTCCCGGGGACTTGCACACCTTCAGGTTCCTTAGATGGTCCAGAACCTGATCTTCTACAGTGGGTGGTTCTCTATTCTCCTAGTCCCCATCTTTACCTTCTGTGTTTGGGCAGTATGGCTGGAGCACAGGCTGCTGAAGACTTAGGCAAAAAAATTCATTGAGTACCTCAACATTCTCCATATCCTGGGTGACCAGGTCTCCCGTTTCTTTCCAGAGAGGGCCTGCATTTTCCCTAGTCTTAGTTTTATCACCAATGTACCTGTAAAGGCTTTTTTTGTTGCCCTTAACATCCCTGGCCAGATTTAATTCTAGCAGGGCTTTGGCCTTCCTAACATGATCCCTGGCTACGCAGACAATTTCTCTGTATTTCCTCCTGGCAACCTGTCCTTGCTTCCATGCTCTGTAGGCTTCCTTTTTATGTTTGAGCTTGTCTAGGTGCTTCTTGTTCATTCATGCAGGTCTCCTGGCGATCTTACCTGAGCTTGAGCTCAGAATTTATGTCTGCTTATTTTTTTTTTTTTTTTTTTTTTTTTTTTTTAAGTATTTATCTGTTGTGTTTATGTGTACATTATTTTAAATTAATATATAAGTTTTAAGCAACATAATGGTACACAGAAAACTCTTGAGGGGCTTACTTCTAATTATTGTTCATAAAGGTAATTAAAGAAAGCAAATCAGGAATACATGCAAGATATTTGTCTCAGAGAGTACTTATTCAACCAAATGTGTGAAGGTATTACAGAAATGCAACAAACTACGTTTGTATGAAAATCCAGATTTTTCTGCATACTACTAGGAAAATACTGTAAAAGATAAAGGAGTTTTAAATATTACTATGGGTAGAACTAATTAGTTTGGTGGTTTTTTTTTTACAGCTCTTTTTATCTAATTATACTATGCAGCTATTTATAAAAAAAATAGTGACAAAATGAAAATCAGAAACAAGATCAAGTAACAGATATGCTTACTAGACAATGAGAAAGTTAGGATTAATTCAAAAGAGGGAAAACAACAACAATGAATAAATTTTTGTATGTACTTACATATTTAAAATGCTGCTAAGAACTCCTTACAGAGTGAAAAGCATCAATAGAAAACAGAGAATGAAAGAACCTTGCTTTCCACTGCATTCATTTGCCTAGTATCATAAAACACCTTTAGGTAAAAGTACTGGGTTTTGAGCAGTGAGTACTGATTTGAATAAAATCTCCATTCCTGTATCACATAGTCTCTGTAGTTAGTTTATAACTATTCAGCAAAAGCTTCAGGAACTATGTGGTAAAAAGGAACACACAGTCATATTGGTAGAGAGTTGCAATCACAAGTGATTTAAATATCCATATGCATGTTAAGTAGGAATCTTTTTGCATTGGTTTAGTTACATCAGTAAGGAACTAGCAAATGATAGTGCCACAAATACACTCACTGCTACTGTAAGACTTACAAACTAAAATGAAATAAAAGCGTCATCGTCTAGAAAAATCTAACTTAAGAGTGGTGGTAAACTGCGTAACACATTCTGATTAAGTGTACACTCTTAGACTGTTGGTTTTCCACAAGTACATGAGCAATCCAATTTTCTTGACATCTATTTTTCACAGAAAATTAATTGCAGGTACTTGTAGATTTCACTTTTTGCATTCAATACACCTGAATATTTGTATGACAAATACCTGTAATCAGGAAACAAAAGTACTATACAATGTACCCTGAAAAAGTCATAATTTATACCAATTCCCATTATAACTGCTGAAGAGAAAAAACACAACAAATTCTTTCTAATAAATGGATGGAATTATTTTACAAAAAGTAACTTCGAATTAAAAAATATGCAAGCAGAAATTACAATCATCATACCTGTTTTATAAGCAGAAAATTCTAATCATCTTGGATTCAACTATCACTTACATGAATTTACTCAGACTCTTTTCTGATATATATTAATATCTGAATCATATGAACGTCATATGTCACATATCACATGTGAAATCATAATTCACATCTGTTGCTTCATCACAGACATAACCAGAAAACAAAGATTTTTTTTAAAGTTGTTTCCCTGCCATCACTAACTCTATGTTTCACAGAGTAGGTTTTCCAAATTTAGTATGAAAAGGACACAATCAGATTACAGAATAACCTGTAGAAAAATCCTTCATACCAGTTTATTAAAAAACCTGAAACCTTATTTTAAAATAAGCTTCAAAATGTGTGTGGGAGTTGCTCTTATTTATGCAGTCTCAGAAAAGACAACAGCCTTTAACTTTTATTTACTGCACTGGTCAACAACTGCATTTTCATATCAGGTTTGCTGAGCAATGTCACAACACTGTAACATCCAGGTTACATATCTGATAGAGTATTTTTCTGAAAATGTGTCAAATGCAATCCCTACTTGCCAAGCTCAATAGCTTTTACAACACTTACAAAATTCTAACACATCAGAAAAACTTATTTACTGAAGGAACCGTCTACAGATACCAGTCAACTGTATAGAGCCAAAAGACTAAACTTTTCACTCTGATGTAAGCATACTCCCTAAATGAGTATCATCTAAACATGAAACTAATTCTTCCAATAACTGCTCTGAATCTAAAAATATCACTGCTGAATGCTGCAATTACATTTCTCAGCTGGAGACATCTTTCTACATTATTTTCTTGAATGCATAAGGTCCAGGCTCAACAGTGTGCTGATCAGCTGACCTGAACTCTAAATTTTATCTCATTAACTAGAAACTACTCAGATTTTATTGGTGTGGTTTTTCGGTTTGCTTTTAAATCCAAGTATATTTTGATCACCTTGTCTGCCCTCCAAAGAAAATAGTCATGAAAGAAGACGAGATGTTCAGAGGAAAAAAGAACTCTATCATCACACAATATCCTTAAGTTCTGATATTTACTTACTCTCAAAATAGCATTGCTTACCCAGTAATTTCTTATGGATTCTGACTTTAAAATTCCTAGTTTTCAAACTGTTCAATAGTAAGAATCACGTGCAGTGTGTACTCTGGTGACAGTGCAAGCCAAGCCCTAACCATATGAAGTGTGCCTTACGGTTAGTCTGCAGTGAACTGAAGAAGCAGCTCCTCGCCCTCAATTTAGTTTGGTGAAGGAAACAATTCTGAGACTCCTGTAAAGTTTGGTTCTCTGCACTGGAGAGTTCATCACACATACTATGCGGCTCTATTCAAATTATGTTCTTTGTTTTGAAGAACAGGTTAGGAAAGATGTATGCATCAGAAGATATTTTTCCTTCTTACATTAGCAACAACTATCGGTTAGGCAAAAACTCTTCTGCCACTTCTAAAATTCTTAACATTTAACAGCTTGTAGGAACGAAGGATGAACACAGCAAGTGACCTCATGAGTAATCTTGCCACTAACTCCGATTCTTTTCTCTCTTGTATTAAAACTATTCATAACAATATATAAGCTACTAAATTGAACATATGCTGTATCTTTTTTACTCACCTACGCAGTTATCACAAAGGCTGCAATGTGAGGCACGAGGTGGGCGGAAAATCTTGCAAGTAAAACAGTATTTTAGTTTCACTGTCTGTCCATTGATGATCACTTCTTTTGTTCTGGGAGGGGGGCGGTATCCTCCTGAACTGGAGCCATTTGCAATATCTAAACACAGAAATACAACGCATTACATTTTTCACATGAGCTATGGTGTATGCACAGAACTGTCCTTGATGGCAATCTATAGCAAGTTTCAAATTTATATTAACACGCTTAAAATAAACAACTTTTTTTACCTTCTCATTCTCCTAAAATAACATCTTGCAAAAAGGTAGTTAGTTACAAATAGCATCCACAGCAAATCAATCTGAATTAAAGAAACCACCCAAACCCAGTTCTGAAATGCTGACAGCTACCTTGAATCCCAAAACTCTTGCACTCTTATATCCCATAACCGTTCATAGAGAATACATTAAAGACAACTATGACTTCTGGTACAGGATGGTAAAACTTGGACAAGTTATCTTGAGGATTTTCCTGAATTTTTTAGAATTCCTGTAATAATAAAAAGTCTCTCTACAAGCGCTGCAGAAATTCTACAGCTTCCATATAGAATCTGCAGATTTACTTAAGCAACAGCAGCTCTGTCATTAGAGCTGGCATATGGTAGAAAGAAGATCAGTCGTCACTCTGAGATCTCTTAAATGCCGTGACACAATCGAGCACATTCAGAATAGTATTTCACAGCTCTAGCTGTTGCAAAGTTTGAAAATCTAACTCCCAGTGTTAGTTTTATACATCTTGAAGTTTGTTGCATAAAAAGAGCTTCCAATTACCTCATTTGGTACACGTGGTGGGGTTTTGTTTGTTTTCTTGCTTTTGTTTTCTTTTAAGACATCAGCATTCATTTTTCCAGCAACTAAAGGACTAATTAGGCTAAATCATTAAAAGTTCAATTTTGTCCTTTAAATGTGCCCAAACAGCTGTAGTCTGAAAGCTGAACATATAAAAGTGGTACCTGTTACTCAGTTTATCTGTTCTTATGTAATCCCAATCAAATCAAACCACAGAAGTGAAAAAACCCTGAATTTTCACTCTTGGACAGGCAGAACAGCAATATCAATAGGAAAGTATAATACATCATTTTCCAATATATGAATGAAGCTACATTTCAAAGTCACAGTCACCTGCACAACTGTGTTTTAAGTTCTCCTCCTCACTTTCATGTTGGACAAGCATGAGGCTGGATGACAGGTTAGTAAAAGACCCATGACTTCTATTTGAGCTCAAATGGCTAGAAATATCACTCACAATTAAAATTTCTGCCAGGTCTGCAGATATATTTACACAGCCTACAGAGTACACATTTTTCAAGGGGGTAACTAGAAAGCCTCCTACCTAGCAAGGTATTCAAATTAGCGACAGCATAACTGTGCCAGCAAAGGTGTAATTATATAATATGCTACATTTGGCAGCAAATCCAGCTTAAGAAGTTCCCATCTGCAATGTGCTCATCCACTCCATAAATATGCAATTGTAAAATTTTTTGTGAGACACCACTGTAAACTTGACCACTGAAACAACTGGCCTTCAGAAAACTCTTGGAGAAGAGGGTAGAAGGAGGGGAGCAATAGCTGAGAATGATGGAGTCAGGGTGTGAAGCTCCTGATAATCCCTTATGAGAATGAAATGGTAAATACTGAAGAAACAGCAATTTAGAGGCAGCCTACTGGACTCTGATGAGGTAGAGACATTTGCTTGTGCTGAATCTAAACCAACCCTGCGATGGGTCAGGTCCTATGATCTGCATGTAAAAGCACGGATTACTGTGTGGCTCCTATAAAAATCAATAATACTCTTTTTGAACTCAAGGCCAATACTACTTCACACAGTATTTTTTGTTAAATAGGTATTGCAGTACAAGCTACTAATGTATTTACATGCTGAAGCATAACTAGACAATAACAGGTGTTTAATGAGAAATATGAACATTATCTTGTTTCCTTTTTTTGTTTTTTTTTTTACAGTTATGTTGTTTAAAACTCATTAATTAAATGATTGCTATTTTAAAGCACTCTAGTAGATACAAGATTTTGATTAGGTCAATAGAAAAAAAATTAATTTCTTCAGGTTACAGAAAAATTTTAATTCAGAACTAAAAGTAAAGTAATTAGAAGTAAAAAAACCCTAATTCAGAACTAGATCAGAAACATCAGAAAAGATGTTCTTTTGAGGGCATACCACAACTGCGCTTATACTACTTAAAGCTTTACAGAGACATGGATGATTTCTAAATCCAGAAAACAGGGAAGAATTTCCTATAATTCAGAGATTACATTAAAAAAGCTTCAATTTTTACAATGAGAACTTCATTAGAACAAGTTATCATAGGCTGCATTTCATGTAGTACTAGTACAGATCTACCTTGTAGTACCAGTACAGATCTATATAAGACAATACTTTTTATGGAAGAGAAACACCATAGTAAGTTTTTGTTATTAAAAAGCTCCTATAGCTGATTTTAGTTACTAATGCTGAAAAAGATAAACATATTTTAATACACTGTACTTCCAGTGACATCATCACCAGCAGGCTTGTAACATTCTTAGTCCTTCTATAAACCCATGGGCCTTACAAAACACAGTGTTATGCCCATTTCTGACTGTAGTCTGGTCAAGATAAATTGTGAACAAAAATGTAGGTCATTAGCCCTAAGTGGCTTTTTATGTAATAAAGCATTTAACACATGCATGCATAACATCTTCATTAATAAACCAGTGATTTCCATCTGATATTCATACTCAAATCTAGGTACATAATTGTCAAAAATACTAATGAAGCATGAATTTTATACAGGTGTAGCTTTCTATACTGCTAGAAACATTGATGCACCGAATTTCCTAAAATAACACTAAGATTTCAGATTTTCTTCTTTTACAAAATATTATTCCTGAATATGTACCTAATTATTGAAAGAAAATTACTCAAACCAGTCAATGTGAATTGTTTTGAATAAAAGCACTATTTTTTCCTAATGAAACATTTATGTATAAAAAACATACATTGACTAAACCGAGCATTTTCCCATCTTTCCAGGAGTTAAAAAAAGTGCACTGTATTTATTTTATTTTAAAACAGACTCTGGCAGAATCTCAAAGGCAACTTCCCTCCTCTCTGGAGGAGAAGGAAGACTAGTAGCCAGCCCATTATACTCACAACACTGGCTTCCTAAGAGGATTTCCTTCCAAACCTTTGCAGGGAAGTTCAAGTTCACAGAGACAGCAAATCCCAGCTCTCTGAGGAAAATTAATCTCAAAATCCAAGGGTGAAAGCTGATGAAAATGAAATTAATGAAAACAGTCTTTCTGACTTTTCATGGACTCAGGATTTTACCCACATTTCTAAATGGCATAATCAAACCTGAAGGTCCTAGTCTTTGTTTATTAACATTTTTTTTTTCTGGAAATAAGCATCATGGCAAGGTCAAATGTGCTTGGATTTAATCAGATTTATCTAACCTAAATGTGCTAAACATGTCCTGCTCTCACAGTGATTTTTTTCAGTCTGTAATTAGCCTTCAGTTGGACTGCCCATACTTGGGTTCTAACACAGATATATCTTTTAATATATGCGATCCCTTTAAGGCACAATAACATTAATATTTAGGGAACCACCTTCCCCAAATAAATCTGCATTTGATCACTAATTTTTACATTTTCCTCTTCCAATACATTACTGATGTAGTAATGCAAGTTATTTTATAAAAAGGGTAAAATTTTCCCACTAATAGGATTGCCTTCAATCCTCTCTGCTCTGCCACATTTTAGAACTTCCCTAGCAGTGTTAAATGTTCATGCACTAGATGGGGCTCCAGCATTTTTATTACCCCAAACATACATGCTGTATCTTTGCAGGACCAAGGTACCTGAAGTCCTGCAAGAAAGTCACTCCAAATATTTAATGGAGATACACCACACAGTCTAGTAACCTTCTAATGTGACAACAAACTCCACTTAGATCTCTCAAATTACTCTGCTGAAAACAAATGGGAGGTGCTGTTTAGATGAGACACAAAGGCTTGAATTTTGTATACATATAGCCAGGATTCTCCTGCTCCATCAAGCATTTGATTTTTTGGTCAACTTTCCTAAGATACTAGGACAAACAGTTTCTAGAAGGTCTCTCCACATTGTCTCTACAAATATTTAGCAAACCCATCATTCAAGGTTTGTCATCAACTCTAAAGGGTCACAATTTCAATCTTCAAACAGTATCATTAGAAAAGTCAGTAACCTGAAGTAATGGTTCCTGCTAAGAGAAACATATAATGCAGTGAAAAAAATTTTTATGTATGATCTATAACAACTGAAGAACAACAAAAGAGCCCTGCAAAAATGCAAACCTCTAGGAAATGTCTTCCTCTAAATTTAATCACTTAAATCCAAGCTACATGCTTAACAACAGTGGGCTAGAAGGGGAAAGAGTAATTTAGGGGTTTTTTTTTTTAGGGAAAAGAACTTAAACAGGTTTTTTTTTTTCCAGGCAGTAATCTCAGGGACAAACAATACTGGGAACCTGGCTTAGACTGAAACCAGCAGCTGCTAACTGCATTCTTCACATAACTCTTCATCTGATAGCCAACAAGAGATACCAACCAAACATTGCTCCTGACTTTAGATAAGAGACTTACTGCCTTGATTTCAGAAAAACCTATGTATTATTTTCTTGAGTGGAATTGCATCATCTTCTTCAAGTCCAAAACTTTATGTGAAAGGCATTCTCGCTCCCAGAAAGAAATGTAATCTTCAGTGATTTGATGCAGGAAAGAGTAAAGCTTTCTGAAAGACTTACTGATGCACAAAGTAATTTTACTAAATTTATTTTTAGAATGTTGTTTAATGCAAGCAATATCAGGTATGAGTATAAGCCTATCATACTGGTAGCCCACCTTTGGAGAGAAAGCAAAACATACTCAGGTTGTACCCACAAAGTTGTATGTACTTGTTCAGGTTATTGTCAATTCTATGAAATGCCTATGTTGTGGTACAGATTTAATCTTATAAGGTTCTAAGGAAATCAAATTGTGCATTTCAAAACAAAGACAGGCAAGGAATTTTGGAGAAGTCTCAAATATAGTCCTGAGCATCAATGAAAATTAGAGAACC